CAAGAAGGGATGGATAGATCAAATAAAACCCCTGATCGACAGCGAATGAATTAGCTTCCCCCACTACCGGTATGTGGCTAGGGCAACAACTTGTCTTAACCCTTCAGACTTTGAAACAAAATTAAGCTGGATAGCTGTCAGTCAGCATTGCTCAGCAACAAGCATCTAGATAGCCATGATGATCCACATTCTAGAACACAAATTGCGTTTACGAGGAATTGCTTCACCAGCACCATGATATTAAAATGCCAAACAGGTGACAGGTTTGGTGTTTTGAATTTGACTCATCGTTAGCCACTAATGCTAATAGTACTAGTAGATCATGCAGTGTATCATGTGTTGATAACCGGAAGGGCACTCAGACAAGATCTAGTGTGTGTAGTGTGACATACAGACATATTTGTGTGTATACAATGCCATTAAAAGTTAACACCCTTCTGGCTCTCAGCGAATAGCCATGGTACACAGCAGGAGCATCAACATCTACGAACTGTGCATCATACCCTACTTGCATACGAAAAAGAATGGAAAAAGGATGTGTACATTGTATGCAAATGCACTCTCCCTTCTAGAGAGTAAAGAGGCATGTGAATATTTTAACACAGAGAACAAAATAACAGAAGTTAGGGACTTTTAGATTTGCACGTCGACATAGTGGACTGCAACATGTGACGTCCTTTTAAGGCATTGTGACGTCCTTTTAAGGCACTGTCAGTGCCTTAAAAGGGCGTCACACATAGCAGTCCACTATGTTGACACCCAAATCTAAAAGTCCCTATTGCAAGCTTCTATTAATGGTTGCAAAATTGACAACAAAGAGCAACAACCCACAATAATTGATCTTGTTGAAGACTTGTACTTCATGACACTTCACAATACATGGTTAAACTTTCCAGAAACTTGAACTTAAATCAATTAAATTACTTACTTTTTCATTTGGAAATCATACATCAAATACTACACCTTAGTTAATGTTCAAATTTGTAGTGTAATAATGTACCCCTTGCGCTATCAGATTATAACAAGAAATAAATTTTAAAAAGTAAAACAAAGAAAAATCAGAGACACATTATTTGTGACGAAAATTTGGATTTTTGTACTGTTACTGTTGTTAGATGTACATGAAAAGGGCACTTTTGGCCTTTGGGTCAAATTGCAAATCTGCATAATGCCTACATGTAACTACCAATTACTAACTACGCTTGTGCAGACTCAAATGTGTACCGGAGAAATATATACATGAAAAATGACTTTTCTTAAGATTTTTTTATTTTGAAACTAATAGTTTGAATAATTATGATCTTGTCAATCATTTAAAATGGTATTTAAATGTTAAATATATCTTTAATCATCTCAGGCTCAGCTAGTGTACGATTGACATAAATTGATAAATAAGGGTATCAAGAGCATGCTTTTTTGCTTAGAATTTGAATGGTTCAATAGTTTTGATTGAAAAGCTTTTCTGAATTCTGCAGTAGGCCTATGAAGAAATAGTGTCCAGTACGGTAATAATAGGTTAAGGCACGTGCATTGTACAAGTGCAAGTACATGTAGGTCTAGTATAATAACTAGATTAAAAGCTAAAGCCAGTTTAAATACTTACATCTCTTAGTGGAATTTTAGCTTTGTAGACTAAGTTGCTGCCGTCTCTGTTGAACACTGAATGTGGTATGTCTTTGAGGGTGAAAACAATGTCTGCAGGAGTTCTCTTTGGACCTTGGTCTCCTTCTTTGGGAAATGTGATTTTTGTGCCTTCCTTCCATCCTGGCTTCACATTGATTTCAAGAATCTTGTCCTCAGTCCTTGTTGTTCGGCCGTCTTCATTCATTACTCGACGATTGATTTTCATTTTCTTCGTGCACCCACGGAAAACGTCCTCGAGCGTGACCCTAAGGTCATGGTGTACTGGTGGATCTTGGCGTTTCCTTTGACTGTTGCTTCGTGTTTGGTGGGATCCAGGGCCTGGGAACCCACCACCGAACCCAAAATCATCATCGATGTCCATTGCTTCAGGTTGGCCACCTGCGAAATTAAACCGAGTGTTTTGTTGGCCACCCATGCCACCAACATTGAAAAACATGTCAAATGGGTTGCTGTTACCAAAGAAGCTTGTGAAAGTTGCGTTGGGATCGCCATGGAATGTCCATGATGAGAAGTTCTCTCCTCCTTGTTCTCCATGTGGAGCACCTCCACCTCCCTTCAGACCTTCCTCTCCATATTTGTCATAAATGTTCTTCTTCTTCTTGTCGCTCAAAACTTCATAAGCTTCGGCTATTTCTTTGAATTTTTCTTCCGCTCCCTTTGACTTATTCTTGTCGGGATGATACTTCAGTGCCATCTTCCGATACGCCTTCTTGATTTCATCGTCGGTGGCACCCTTGGCTACCCCGAGCACCTTGTAGTAATCTTTCCCCATTTTTGTCATAGGTGACAGCTATCTTTGACTTTTTCACAACCACGGACAAACCACGGTTGTTTCACAGCCACGCCACGGACAAAATATTGTTCTTCTTTATGAAGGAAGCAAGAGTTATTTTCCTTCTTCAATCAGTAGATTCGTAGCAGATCTTTTCACTCTGTCCGATGAAAACAGCTGGACGACTAGACTCTACTCCCGAAGTCGAAAAGGCAATTTGTCGACTAGTTAACGTGTCGTTCGCGTTAGGTACGGGTTGGTAGTAAATTGTGTTTCGATTTCTAACACGGCACTGCACTGGCAACAGCAAAACCTAGTTAGAATTAGAAGTTCGAACGTTGATGCAATCATGAAAAACAATGTTCACTTCACACTATCAACCTCGCGAAGGAGACTGCTTGATCGTTTCACTCAATTCAAGTGCTGAATCAAATTTAAGACGAAATCTTCCTATCTCTGCTTTTAAACCGTACCGGTTTGCGTTTGGTATTTTGATCCGGTCCAAGAGTAGAGGCTGGAGATTAGGTCTAGGCGCTTCGATAACACACGTACGTCCGAACGTTCGCGCAAATACACGAACATTCTCGAAGCATCGCGTGTAAACAGGAAAACCGCGGGAGCGCGCGCGGAAGGAACCTTGCTAAATGGAGTATAAAAACACGGGATTCTATTCTACTGGTACACAGGTCAACGAAATAATGTTGGTAGGCCTACTTGGTAGTGTTTTGAAGTAAAGACGGCTGTTTTTACCCTTTACTTGTGCTGGCTGTTTTAGAAGGGGAAACACCCACCGAACGCATTATGCCCATGGAAACCTGGTCGAAACGCTGAGTAGTGGGAACACTCCCAGCTACCGCTCTTCACCAGTATTGCTCCCAGCTTATGTGTAAACTATACACAATAATGTGAAATGAAATGAGAGAATAATGATCTCGTAGCTTTGATCGAAGTTTCCCATTACCTTATGCCCTTTTTTAAAAGATTTTTTTTAGCAAGGGTTAAAATATATAAGCAGTGCCCGCCGGGACGGTCGAGCTCAGCTAGAGCCCCCTCCCACCGTACAAGAAAAAGAAAAACGGAATAGGGAGAAAGAAAAAGAGAAATATTTGAAAGTTCGAAAGGTTAAATTCAATAAATTGTACGAAAAACTTATATCGGAACACATATCAAAGGAAATTGGTATATGCCGCATAGCAAATCAAAGACATGGTTGATGCATGGTTGATGCATCTGAGTTTTACTATAGGATGTCGGAGCTATGATGTTTTTTTGCTATGAATGCTTTTGATACGCCTTCTCCTTTGGTTTCCTTCAGGACAGCAGGAAGTCTTTTTTTTTTAAATCTATTAATCTTCATCATATTTTCTTAAAACCCCACTGTCCTATTTGTAGCTACTTGCTCCCTCTATATAGAAAACTTCCCCAATCGGTGCATGTTGGTCCCCCATCCTCTTTTTCTTATGTTAGTTGAGAGCTGAGTTAATGAGATAGCCACCTGTCAGTGACCTCGCTGAGTGGTCTATTCCCTTCGGGCCCAGTAGTATTGACGGTCTTTAAATATCGACGTTGACACTTTAGTTGCATCTTAGATTTCCATTCAATTTCGGAAGCTTAGTTGCTCCAATGTCTTCCACCACAGTGTTAAATCGAAATTATTTTCGAATAATATTATGGCCAATATGATATTATTATAATAGTATAATACTGCCCTACAAAAAAAAATCTGACACAAACTTCAAGCATATTATGAGAGGAGTTGAGATGATACGGTTCTCCTTTGCATTAGATTATAATCCTATAACATAATTATAGGCCTACTCATAAAAAAATAAGGGTCATATCTCTTAACCAAGTGTTTCGTTTCAATGTTTCAAAATATTGCTTTAGACCATGATTTACTTCATTAAACAAAAATTAAGTGACTTGCCTGTGTCACAAATTTTAATGGGGTATGCCCATCTGACTGTTATTGCCTGCCGCTTCAATTAGAGGACTCCGCCCTCTGGACCCCACGCCTATTTACGCTCCCCTCAATTATGATCGAGCCGCGACTACACGTCAATGTATTACATCTTTTCATGACTTTTGAATGAATTCTGAATGAATAAACCGATATAAAACAACTATACGTTTTTCAGGAAAAGTCCATTTTTAAATAATTGTCATTTAGAACCAGTCTCCCCTCACCATGACTGAATATTTCAGGTTTGGCTCAACGTAGCAGACGACGACGACACTCGTGCAAAATCCTATATTCGTCTTTATTCTATTACCTTCGCTAATAACGCTTTTGCGACAAACAAACTCAAATTACGTTAACAGTACAGAAGAGTCGAGAACAATCTGGGATTTCCCCGTCAGTGTGAAAAGGTCCAGCTAGCTCTAGAAGCCGCGCCTTATACCATGGACCAACACATTGGCTTCTCCAATCTTTGGCGAAGCTGGCGTCTGTGCTATATGACCCACTCATCGATAATACCAAACAACAACAACAACAACAACTGGCCTATTTAATTTTGATATCCACCACACCAACACAAAGCGACACCCCCCTCCCCCCTCCCCCCTCCCCCTCCCTCCCTACTTACTTGCTGCCAGTCGAAGACGTACAGGCTAATACGAGTTCGTTGATAACGCCATCTTCGGCGGCTTGAATCAACATTAATTACATTACATCTTCTTTTAGAATTTCAAAAATGGCGACAGAAAAAGCACCAGCGATTGGAATTGACTTGGGCACCGCCAATTCTTGCGTGGGAGTCTTTCGAAATGGAGAGGTGGAGATCATTGCTAACGATCAAGGAAACCGGACCACACCCAATTATGTTGGATTCACAGATACAAAGATATTGATTGGTGAATCAGCCAAGAACCAGGTGGCAATGTAAGTGTCTTACTTTTTCCCTGTTTTCCCCCTTTCATTTCTTTTCAATTTATGTTCATCGACCCAGGATTCTTCCATGGTCACTGCTATTTTGTTAAGGGAGGAGATGAGACAACCGACAACACCTAGACCGGCTCATACAGACGGCTTGAATTATTTGACCATTTATTATCAAGTAATAGATATCAATAATATTATTAAGAAAACTCGTAAGATTCATAAGAGTAATAATACAATTCTATAAGGTTGAAAGGCATAGTCTTATTTTTGTCAACAAAAGTGTCGATACTCGTAGTGGTAGACAAACCAAGCGCTCCTGGTATGATATAACTTTCTAAGGCCAGGAATAATCTTTGCTGTTCGTCTTTGTACACTTCCCAACATCATTATCTTCTCCTAATCTGTATGGGGACCACGCGGCCCCTGTTTTTGTATTTTTCAGTTAATATTGTTATACTTTTGTTATCCGTGATCGCCCAAAACAATGTGAAATGTTTGTCAGACCGTAGTCAAAGCTGCAACAGTTATATGCAATAAAAGCAACCGTTTTCTGACTATTTAAATTGCGATATTTCGTAACAGGTGAATTCAATAGTTGGGACTTGGGAATGGAAGCGTTCCGTATGCATTGTTGACCCCCGTTTTTGTTTGTTACTGTTAGTTACGTCACTTACGTGTTGATTCTTTTGCGTTCATTGTATTGGAGGATTGACCCAACCCCTGCAAGTAAAGAGTGTTGGATCATAAAAGGACTGGGTTGCATATTCCATTCACAGAAAAGGGTCAAATTTAACGCGTTAATGTAACCACAGAGGGATTCATTCGTAAATAACATACTGATATAATTAATACACGCATGGAAAAACAGAAACATTTGAATCAACGAGAAGTTGGTTTCTGAAAAGTTGAACCCAATTCATGTTAAAACTTTTCAAGAATTTACCAATGAGAACATTATAGCCTATAACCAGTGCAATAAACAGAGAAATCAAAGCGTACCCTCCTTTGACAAAAAATGATACGGCCCAACAAATAGCGTCATGGATCAAAGTGGTCACTGGCCCTCGCATTTTTTTAGGTTCTATACTTACTTCAAGATCAAATTTCCCCGTAAAAAGTTCACAATATGGTCATGGGTTATTATTGTGCATTTTGTATAGAGTTTTTTACAGGAATTTGTTTGAGTTCACTCTTTTTCTTTTGTTTTTGTATGTTATGATATTTATCAACAAGTGATATCTTATACCTATTCTTACTGTGATTGAAAAATTATGTCAAACATGTCTTGCAATATACTTAATTTATATACTTTGTTCGGTAGGCATTCTCGACAAACCCCTATTGGTTTTTTGTATGGCCATCCTAATTCATATGATACCATTTTTTAAATTTGTACTGTGCCATTATATACTGTATATATTATATATTTTTAAACTCGTATACGTATGTATATTTTTAATGTATTTACTTATGTATTTTTAATATATTTGCTGGAATTGAAATAAACGAATTGAATTGAATTGAATATTCCAGTGCTTTCGCTCTCTACAGTTGTCAAAAAAGTTTGGACTTTCAAATGTTATTTTGTCTATCAAAATCTTAGAGATTCTGCTAGTTCTTTTTATCAGTACAATCACATTCAAGAATTCAGATTAAAGTTATATGAAACGAATCTTTATACGTATAAACTTAGATGGGATTGCAATTTTGCAACGAGCCAGGAGTAAATAACATTAACGCTTATTCGTAATGTAAAAGTGGTTTTAAATAGTTCATTACTTTTAAGATAAAAAAACAATCATCATTCTTGTCGATATTATAACACATTATTTCTGCCTATATAACTATTTATTTCTGCCGACAAATTATTGTTTGCCTCATTAAAGAAAAATTATCATGGTCTAGACTCTGTGTATTTTTATTTCAGAAAAAAAAAGCTTCATTCAATTGTTTATTTTTAATCAATCAATGACAAGAAAGTGTCATTTAGGAAGCTTTGATACATTTTTACCGTATTGAAAAGATATTCCTTTCCAAGTTGTTGGTATATACAGTGTATACATTGACACCACTCTCATACTTCGGTACTAATCGGATTCATTTTTGCCCTGTTTTAACTTTTATATACCCTTCCTACTGGGTATAATGATTACAATTATTAAACATTTTTTTCTTCTATTGTATTTCGACAGGAACCCAAATAACACAATCTTTGATGTCAAACGCCTGATTGGAAGACGATTCACCGATGACAACGTGCAATCGGACATGAAGCACTGGCCTTTCACCGTCATCAACCAAGGAGGCAAGCCAATGCTACAGGTAGACTACATGGGAGAAAAGAGGACAATGGCACCAGGAGAAATTAGCTCCATGGTCCTGACCAAGTTGAAGGAGTCAGCCGAGTCGCATATTGGGCAGAAGATCAACAATGCCGTCATCACTGTTCCTGCTTATTTTAACGATGCTCAGCGACAAGCGACGAAGGACGCAGGGATGACCGCTGGACTTAACATCCTCGGGATCATCAACGATCCCACCGCTGCCGCCCTACGTGGTACTTAGTGGTGGATCGACACGAATCCCCAGGATCCAGATGATTCTTCAGGAGTTCCTAAACGGCAAGGATCTCAACATGTCCATTAATCCAGACGAAGCTGTAGCCTATGGTGCCGCTATCCAAGCTGCCCTCCTATCCGTCGACCAGAGTGAAGAAATCAAGGACGATCTTCTTGTTGACGTGGCCCCTGGTTCTTGTTGGCGTAGCTCCTGCTGTTTAGCTACCAACAGATAGCTCTTGGTATAGCTAAACAACAGGAGGCACATGAGATGACGAAGCTCATTGAGAGGAACACAAGAATCCCAACAAAGAAGGCAAATACCTTCACTGCCTGTACTCTGACAACTAACCCACCGTTGCCATCCAAGTATTTGAAGGAGAAAGAGTTATAACCAAGACAACAACCGACTTATCCAGTTTGAACTGTCCAGCATCCCTCCTGCACCGCGAGGTGTCCCAAAGATCGAAGTCTCTTTCGAGATCAACACCAACGGCATCATGATCGAACGTCGTCGCCAATGATCAGAGCACGCGGGTCATAGCAACAAGGTCACTTTTACCAACGACAGCGGTAGGCTCTCCAAATCCGACATCGATCGTAGGATCAACCCGGGGGAGAGGGCGCACAGTGCCCCCTATTTTTTCAATTACCCTAAAAGTGCCACTTTTCTTGTAAGAAGTGCCCCTTCCCCTTTGAATAACTACCTCAGATAAGCGCACCTTATATTTTCACACGTGCCCCTTTTCCTTAAGATATTAAGTGACATCATTTTTCTTTTAAAGAGCCCCTTCCCCTTCTCTGAAACACCCTTTCCATTATTGGAAAGTTCCCTTTTTATTCTCATAAGTGCCCCTTTTCATCTCTGGTAAATGACCCTTTTCGGGTACATGAAATAAATCCTTTTCACTTCAGATAAGTGCCCACTTCACCTCCGATAATTGCTGCCATTAAAATCTTATCGGTGCCCCTTTTCTTTCAACAAATGCACATTTTCCTTTATTACAAGTGCCCCTTTTCATTCTCATTAGTGCCTTTTTTCATCCCCGATGAGTGCCTTTTAATGTGTGAGAAGTTCCCCATTTTCACCTCTGATAATTACCTTTGTACTTTAACACGTGCTACTTTGGCTAATAAGTGTCTTATCCGTTTCGATAAGTGTCCCCTTTCCTCGTCATTAAACGTGCACCTCATTTCAAGCGACTAAGAACAATGACCCCAAAGCTCACTCGCTTTTATAGGTGATATAATTATGTTACTTGTCAAAGGCCGTTTCGGTCTTTCGTTATGAGAATGTGCTTATAACCCCATCAGGCGTGGGTTTGCATTCTTCATAAGATGTGATTTTTCGCACTGCGACCTCACGAATCTCTATAAATTTTCCTCGCTCACTCGCAATTGAATTTTCAGACCATCACACCCAACTGTAAAGTATGATGCTTAAGCGATATCTTGCATGATATATAAAGATAAATAAATATTGAAATCATCCCTGATTATGCAAGAACAATGTATGGGTGTATACCAACGTCTAAAAAATTGTATATTTTCGCTGATTTCCCTTTTTGGGTGCCCTTTTTTTTCTCCAGAAAGTACCCTTTTTTGTTGGTGCTCAGCCCCTGGTATACAATATACATTAATTTAAGTTTCTTAGTGTTAAGAAGGCTTAGGCGTAAAGATATTTACTGCAAGGAGTCGAGGACGAAATGTGCAATAATCAGGATTGGTATTAAATTCTATGGGTTTGTTGGTTTTAAATTAAGAGATTGTTTGAATTATGTACATTAATTGTTAAATACAAATGATATCTTCATGTTCATATCTTTTCTTCTCTTTTTGTAAACAATTTAGTGTGTTTTTAGTATTCAAATTGCTAATTGGTTTTTAAAATCTTTTTTTTTTTTATACCGTTTCATGTTTTTATATAAATTATGATTGTGATGATCTTTGCTTTTGAGTCTACTGAGGGATGACAGAACTATAATGTTTTTGTCTTTCTATGAAAGCCTTTGACAAGTCCCTTTTGATTTCCGTCAGAACAGCAGGAAGCTATGTTTTATTTTGTGTTATTGTATCATTAATCAGTATCATGTGTATATTCTTAAATATCGGATTGAAACTTTTATTGCATCTTTGACTTTCATTTGTTGTTTCGATATCGGCAGCTTAGTTGTTCCAATGTCTTCCATCACAGTGTTATACATAATGTCCTACAAAACATATCTGCCAAAAAATGTATGAGTATGAGAGGGAGAGATGATACGGTATTCGTTTGCATTAGATTATAAACAAAATAAAAATGAAATCATAAAAATAAAGGGTCACATTTTTAAATCTTTGGCAAGAGGAGAAAGACAGGGTCGGGGTGGGGGATTGAAAAAGAGAGAGAGGGAGAGGGAGGGGCATACATGGGTTGAGACGGGGAGTTGGGGAACAGATTAGGGGGAAGAGAATTAATGAGGGCTAATGAGGGAAACTGCATGAGGCAACATTATGATTTTCACATCTCATGCTCTGTTTTACAAAGCCATAGCTTGGCTGATGTAGTAACAACTGGACAATGCTCTGTTTGAAATCTAAGCATTAAATAATTGAAACAAATCAAGAGTGAAAACCAACATGATCAAGCCGAATACACGTCACTGTATTACATCTTTGCGTGACTTTTGAATAAATTGTGAATGAAAAAGCCGATATAAAACAAGGCTTTTCAGGATAAGTCCATTTTTTAATCATAACTGTCATTCGGAACCCCTCACCATCACTGAAAATTTCAGGTTTTCTTAACAAAGCAGACGACGACACTATTTGCTATGGGGGGGGGGGGGGGGTTGACCCAGTGACGATGCATCGTCAAAGAGCCGCGTAGCGGTGAGGCTTTTTTTTTTTGGGGGGGGGGGTGCTATTTGAACCCCCGTAAGTGATGTTTTCCTGGCATCTACTAATACAATGGAGACCGTTAAAGCAGTGCATGATAACATCTTTTTTAATCAAGTAACAGTTTAATACACAGTTATATCCAGAGTTATCATGTGTTTGGTTAAGTTACCAGATGAGTTGAATATCTTCTCACAATATTTGCACTTGAAAGGTTTCTCTCCAGTGTGCGGACACAATCATGATAGCGTTTTTCTATGCACATCACAATTTTCACTTGGATACCCGGGGGGGGGGGGGTGGGTTAAACCCTGTAACCTCCCCTCCCCGTAGATCCGCCCTTGCCGTCAGTGTGAAAAGGCCCAGCTATAGCTCTAGCCTCGCACCATGGACCTAACAGACTAGAAGCTTCTCCAATCTTGGAGAAGAGAGGCGTCTGTGCTATATACCAGGCTCATCGCCGTTCAAGCTTTCATTCGAAACTCGACAGCTTTGATTTCCCACGACAAATCGAAGGAGGCGAATTTTCATCTTCAAAGACTTCTACAAGGAAAAAAAATTCGTAATCTCATTTTGCAGTTTGTCCATAGCAGGGGCGTCAATCTGTTTTATATTATATATATATATATATATATTTTTTTTTTTTTGGGGGGGGGGGGGCACTGATATCTGAGTGTCCAAGTAGCGGAGCGTAGCGAGCGAAGTAAGAGGAGCGTCAGGGGCGGCGGAGCGTATTTCAAAGTGTGGGGGGAGGGGGCATCAACAAAAAGGGCACTTTCTGCAGAAAAAAGGGGCACCTACAAAGTGAAACCTCAAGGCGAGAATTTACAATTTTTAGACATTGTATTATATCCCTACAATGTGTTTACATTCCTATACGCTTTTATTGATTTAATGGACAGTCACTATACGACAAGATAACATCCATTTCTCTCCCAAAATTAAAATCATTTCAAAAATCGAAATAAATTTATACATTTCGAGGTTATTGTAAAATGTTGGTACTTATGATACTAAAATATCTTAGGTACCGAAATATAAGCCCAGTGGCGTAAATTTATTGTGTATTTTTTAAACTGGATTCGTGCAATTCGGTAAATAATTTTAGTCAACATAATAAACTCCAGATTCCATTCAAACTCCACGTTTTGACCAAAATCAATTTATTTTCTAAGGATTTTTCTATTTTTCGTTGACAATAAAAATAATTGTTGATGGTAAATAATCTTTAAATCACCACATTTTGACCAAAAATAATTTACGGTGGGGGGGGGGGGGCCTTCACGGAGGGCGCAAAAATGGCGGTGCCCATGCAAATTTGTCACTGAACAGTTATCTTTTTCTATATAGAAACGGTATTAGAAATCCTTATGGTCAGGAGAATGAATTTACAAAAACTAAATCAGTTTGACCATAACCAATTTTCATTGATTTTTCGTTTTAACTGTTAATTTGGCGCCCCTCTAAAAGTGGCGCCCCCCCCCCCCTGGCTACGTTACAAAAAAACATCACATCAGACTCTGATTATACGCAGTTACACTTCATCGAAAAAAAAGTCACGGGAGAGGAGAATTATTTAGGGTTAGGCTAATGGGGAGGGAACGAGAGAGAGAGAGACAGAGATAGACAGAGACAGAGAGAGAGAGACACAGAGAGAGAGAGACAGACAGACAGACAGAGAGACAGAGAGACAGAGGTGAGATCTAGAGGCAGGTAGAGCGATGAGAGAGAGAGAGAGAGAGAGAGAGAGAGGGGGGGGGGCAGAGAGAGAGAGGGGGGGGGGCAGAGAGAGAGAGGGGGGGGGGGCAGAGAGAAACTGATAAGACATATTAAGACTGCTCGCACATTTAGAGGGAGAGAGAGATCCCCTGTCATAGAAGATACCAACGTATTTTGTTTTATAAAAATGTGGCAGCGGTGCAGCTTTCGTACTATTGGGGGTAGTGGGCCGCGTGGGGGAAGGGGGGGGGCACTATATGAATCACGGACTGTTTTCATTCTCTTCACCATTTTTGTTTTAAGTAACCAACTAAGTTGCTTTCTGACTAACTATATATATATATATATATATATATATAGTATGATATGTTTGTTTAAAGGCACACTGTCCTACTTGTAGCTAAATTGCTCCCTCTATATAGAAAACTTCCCAAATTGGTGCCTGTTGGTCCCCCATGATCCTCTTTTTCTTATGTTAAATGAGAGCTGAGTTAATGAGATAGCCACCTGTCACAGTGACCTCGTTGGCTCGCTGTGAGGTCTAATCCCTTCTAGCTGCAGTGGAGATAATGGGAAGATAGACTGAGAAACTTGCATTGTTTGGCTTATCATAATCTTACTATTAGCAAATCATTTACTCCTTGGCCTTCACATGTAGCTTACCATACCAAATATCGTAAGTTGAATTTGCAACATTCGAGATTCGTCTGTCGATTGGGGATCAAATCTGACGCAAGAAAATGGATGTAAGTTTATCTGAGGTATTTGTACTATACTCTGTAAATTGAAGTTATGATATATGTGTTTGAACGATATCGTGATGTTCTATCAGCAGTAGACGAGTGTAATATTTGTTCATGCTCTGGCCTGGGGATGGCAGCGAGGCCATAGACTAGCCTACACATAACTGAATATAGTGGGGCGATAGCTAAGCAAGTTACCACCCCCCCCCCCCCCTCCCACCCGAACTACAGGGGTGTGTGCGCCCATTGCCATGGCATTGGTAATTGTCACACCTACAATTAGGCACTTCAGATGAAATTTATTTGAACACCCAATCTGAGTTAAATGATGTTTGGCTGAATAACACTTCAGGAGTTCAGAATTCAGAATTCACAAATTGGTTCAGCCCAGGTACCGTATTAAAAAGCAGAGTTATCGCCAATTCTGTGCCAATGAGCTCTCTCTCACTTAAATTTGAAGCCGCTCCAGGTGAACTCACTGTACAGCGCTCAATGCGTAAAGTTCTACATGGCGTGGGCAATTCGCTACACCAGGAGCGCAGTGTATTGCGATACACTGAATAGGCAGGCATGCCATTGTGAAGCTGTCGTGTTGTGCGAGCAGGGCCTCGCCAAAAATGGCGACCAAATTCCCACTTAGTGAATACGTTTTTAACGTTTTCGCTCTCTACATACTTATGTCGCTCCCATACAATTTGCACGTACACATTTTAACCAACACGTACATATCCTTTACAAAGGCTTACAAGAAAATCATTAAAAAATATGACTTCCCGAATCCCAGTAACACCATACAATCTTGCCAAAGTTTCTTGAAATATCGAAACCGATGGCGAAAAATATTCTTTAAAATAGAAGTCCAAATTTGTTTTTTCACACAGAATCTTATGTGGTCACTGTGGATCATGTATTTCATAAAACCATCATATACAAGTTCACTAAATTCCCAATTAATTACTTGTATCAAGATGTTTCGAAGGCGAAGGGATGTTAACAAATGTGTACATACAACAAATTTGCCAATTTGACAAATGCATGATGAGTCTGCAGTCATATGTTGTAGTTTAGAAATCCTTTTTTTTTTAAGGATTTCATTTTTAGCATTGAATGGTGAGTTTGTTCAAAGATGTTTATGTCCTGAATTTTTAAATAAGATCAATGTTTTGTTTCTTCCAGGTCAAGATCATCAATGCCAAATCCGGCAAGGAGATGCTAACGCTCCATAATGTAAGTCATTTGTTTTTTTAATAGTGATCTTCTTTTTTTTTTTAGGAGGGGGAGGGGGGGGGGGGCTAGAAAAAAATGTGAAGAGATATGTAACAAAATAAAGAAATGGGTTACTAAGAGTCCAAGTTTAAATGTGTAGTTGAAGTAGAACAAGTTTAGATTTCGTTAAAGAAAATAGATAAACCCAAGATAATTCTTCATCAGTTCCAAGGCTTTGTACATGTTTATGTAGACATTTGGCCTCGCCAAAGAATTCATTACTGAAAACATGATATACCTGAGGCCCTGTCACATAAAGGTCTGCAGTCAGTTGCAAAATAGTGTCCAAAATAGTGTCCAATCAAGATCATCGTTGTGTGCACATACTACTGTTAGCAAGGCTGACTATTGACCAATCAGAATCGTTATGTCGAATTTGCAATTGATCGCAAACCTTTGTGTTACGGGGCCCAGGTAGGATTGATTGAATCATTGTTAGCTCTTTTGTTTCACATGATTTCATCATCGTGTACATCATCAAATGGACAATATAGTCTTTGGTTATCTTTATATTTCATTTTATATACCTCACTTAAGTAATCCAGCAATCTGATTGGTCGAAATTGCATTTATAAACTTTAACTGTTCCCGAAAATTCCCGGTAACCATGGTTAAAAAACAGTTCAAAATCCCAATAACCATGGTTATTGGGAAAATAGGTCAGTCTCCATGGTTACCCCATAGGTTTACATGTTAAAAAATGGTCTGAGCGATCGAGGATACCGTACGTGTGCGAAGAATTGGTCGGTAATTTCAATACAATTGAATCTCGATCGATCTTACCGACAATTTTATCTTGCATTGTTGACATGAAGACGAAAATAAACTTCCAAAAACAAAAAAACAACATCTGCCGATAGATCTTGATCTAAGTTCGTGCCAATATGCATTGTAAAAGTAAAAGAAGGGCCCGTTTAATGGAGCAGCGGCGAAGCATCGACCACGCGAAGCCGTTTTCAATTCATTTTAATGTATATATTAAAGAAAACTATTGTACATGGTGACATAGCGCGCTGGCCGAGCGGTTTGAGGCGCTGACTTTAGTAACATCACCTATGGTACGCAAGAGTTCGAATCCCATCTTCGACAAAAGTTTTTTTTTTTTTTTTTTTTTTTTTCTTTTTTTTTTGGCATATTAAAGTATTAATGACTGCTTTAATATTCGAGAAATAGTTTCTCAAAGCAGTCATTAATACTATATTGTAAGACAGAGAGAGAGAGAGAGAGAGAGAGTTAAGAGAGGGTGCAAGATTTTGTTTAAAGTAAGTGTAAGATCAAAACAAGTAAAGATTTTTTTTGTAGAATATACTAGTAATATTCGAAGAATTTTGTCTCTTTCAGCTGAACAAGGCAGTGACCATTGATCATGTGAAGGAAGGTTTCTATCAGAATAGTGAGTCATTGATTTGTCTTTCAGCATTTATGATAAAATCCACTGAGACTAGGGCCACCTCAGTGAAATGAATGGTATGGGTGCAGTGTGTGACTTAGCGCTGGTAAGATTGAAAAGATAAGAGCTCTGGTAAAATATCTGAACAAATAAAAACTGCTAACTAAATTTTCTGGAACAAAAAAAATCCAGTGAAATCTTAATTTATATATACATGTATATATATATTCCAGAAAGAGTTATTCATTTTTACACTACATGTACCTTCTGACCAACACCCTCAAGTCTGAATATTGTTATGCGCCCGTGAAGGAATAACTCTAGCAAAAACATAAAACAATTCAAGCAGGATAACTTTCAAAACCTTCCTGCATTTGCAAATTTTGTTCCCGAGAAAGAAATTATTTCCTGCTTCTATGATTCTATACGTAATATTTATGAATTAATAAAATCTTCTATCAATTTTTTTAAAACTTGAAATTGGGTCAAATCAATTTTATTGGTGTATTTAATAGAACAAAAGAAAAAAATATTAAGGATAAGCCCACCTGTTGTCATTATTGCTTGATATTTATTATTAAAAGTATGATATGATTGAAACTGGAAAAGGATTTTTCCGTAGCCAAAATGCCTAAACTACACTGATTTATTTGTGTCTCCTTTGTTAATTGTTTTACAGATAGGAAGTACTACCCGGATAGGCAGGCATTCAGGACCGAGCCTAGTAAGTAAAAGAACCAAATTTAATTTGCACAATTTATTTTTGCTTTAAGGATGTGAGAGTTATTGACCTCACCCCCAAAGAAGTGACTTTAAAAGAACGTTTGGAATAATAATAATAATAATCTTTTAAAGTCCACTCCAAATTTCATTTGGAAGGCTTATATGGTGTATAATATTTGTAGGATCTTGTTATCACCATATTGTGTATTCAAATATGTTGATTTTTTTATTTACAGCTGTATGTCATTGCTATCAATAAATGACTTGTTTGGCCATTGGAGAGGAAGGAATCTCAGTACTGGTGTAAGTCGTGTTAAACTTGGAAATCATACTTTCTTAAAATGTGCATTTCTGACCCCTATGGTTGTAATCAGATTTTATTTTTGGCTGAATATTTAACCCTTTGGTTGCTTTCTTCACCTCTCTGCACTGTTGCTCATTTGCCACATATGCCAATTTCCACAAAACAGTAGACCTAATGCTATGGTCACATAACCCAAAAGTAGACTGCTCGGCGGCCGAGCGGCGAGTTTTTAACCAATTCTGCCCGGCGGCTGCCCGGCCACCGAGCGGCGGCCGCCCAGGCACCGCTCGGTTTAAGGGCATCGCTCGGTCGCCGCTGAAATTTTAGCGCGGAGTTAAAATTTGGGCGGTGCCTGCTCACTTTTCACTCGCCGCCCAAAATACGCTCGGTGCCTGGGCGGTCGCCGCCCGGGCACCGACCTAATCGCTGGGCGATGCCTAATTCCAGCAGCGACCGAGCAGGCTACTGATCGGTCGGTCGCTGCTCTGATTTGTGACCATAGCTTTAGTTAATGGAAAAGATTGTTTTGCTCAACACAGTGGCTCTGCAAAATTACCTGTATCCTGTCTTGATTAGCCTCATGTTGCTGTATTTTGGACACATTTCTAGGAGAGAAGATGACAACCTGGAGAAGATCATTACCCAAGGTCATGTTGAGGGTCAACGGAAACGTGGTAGGCCAAAAGTTCGATGGGCTGATGGAATAAAAAAGATTACTGGCATGAACATCTGCACAGCTCATTGCTATGCCCGGGATAGAAGTGGTTGGAACTTCATCATCATTAGGGTCACAAAGGGTCAGTCATGACTCGTAGGATGACGACGGCAACGATGATAGATAAATCTCACACTGGAAACGGATAATCTTGAAGCCTTTGGTATATCTACAACATGATAATACAATCTGGCACAGAGATATTATTTGTGCAGCATACATAGAGTTCATTCATTCATCCATTTCCTTCACTCTTTCATTCGAATCTTTGTCCCTTTGCCATCATTTCTTCTGTATTCTCTTTTACTAACCTACATCGAATTTGTCCCTTTCTTCCCCCTCTCCTATTCTTCTGACGTTAGAGGGTAAATCTTTGAAGGGCGATGATACCCTGGGATCCCTGGGTATCACTCATGGTGACAGTCTGTACTTCAAGGATCTAGGCCCACAGGTTGGATGGACTACTGTGAGTATATATACAGCATGCACGCTTCACAGATCAATTATGAACTTACCATCTGCATACTCTGTTCTTTTAAAGAAAAAGTTGAGTTCTGGTCAAGCGATTGTATTGTGAAAGAAACGGTGTGGAATCGATCAGAAAAGGTTGATCATCTAGCATTATAAGTATTGGTGTGTACTGCAAGGTCCTGGAATCATCAGAACCCAGTCTTGATAAAGGTACAAGCTCTGAAAGAGAAAGATGTATATGGGACTAGACGAACATGTGGCATAAAAATCTGTCCCGATATTAAGGCATTTAAAGAGCCATGCTTTTCAAGAAACTTTTTTTATCTCGTGTTCTTTCACACTTGCATAACAATGATAACGCTCACAAATTATTTTTCACCTCATCCTAGAACTCAACTTTCTCTTAAATGTCCTGTCTATCAACCTATACTACCCACTCTGTTGTAATAGATTACATTTTTTCATCACAGACAGCTTCTTAGTTTTATAGTAAATAGTATGTAAAATTACTAATCACATAAAACTGAAAAAACATAACGTTTTTACCTTGTCAAAATATATTTACCGGTAAATAAGGCAATTCTTTTCTGCATTCCAAATTTAGACGTGAAAATGTGTAAGTTGACAACTACCCCCTAGGATAGTTGTCTGAGGGGTAGTCTTCCTAGAGGATGGTTGTCGTAGGGGGTAGTTGTCCTAGGAGGTACATGTAGGTGTCCTATAGATGTTTCTATCCTGTACTAGTGATATATTTGTATGATTCCTTCTAGGTGTTCATGACAGAGTACTCTGGTCCTCTGTTTGTCTACCTGCTCTTTTACCTGAGGCCTTCAATCATATATGGAGCTGATGCATCTCTGCCTCGCACACTAGTAGCAAAGTGAGTACTGGATATAATTGACAGATATGATGATATAATATCTCATCTGATTTTAAAAAAAAAAAACTTCTGTTCTGCATTTGTTGAACAAAATATACTAATTTATATATTGCTAAAATCAAGTTTTCAGAAGAATATGCTATTTTTTTTCCTATGTAGAATAGCCCCATAGCACCTTTCCATTCGTGAAACATTTTTTAACTAGAAGGTGAGATAGTATAGCAACATGTTTTGTTTTTGTTTGTTTTACTCAATGTTGTAGCCTTGCTATGGGATGTTGGACCCTTCACTATGGCAAGAGACTTCTTGAGACGCTCTTTGTTCATCGCTTCTCTCACGCCACTATGCCTATCACCAACATCTTCAAGGTATGAAATCAGGGCCAGTATTCAATAAACTTAAGAACTTTTTCTTATCGTTTTGCTGAGAGAAAAGTCTTGGCAAAAAATTCACAGTCTATAAAATCATTGGGGTCTAAGAGTTTTGTTTTATCTTTCGTCTAAGGTAAGACAGAGTGCTTACCATTTTTACCTTTTTTTGGCTAAGGCAATTTTTTGAAACTAGAAAAATTCTAAGAATTTTTGTAGACTTCAGAAAAATGTCTTAAAGTTTATTGAATACGGGCCCAGGATATTCATCAGAGTTATACCACCTTTGGTGGTTTTACTAAATATGGGGGATATAGAAATATAAAAACACACCCACAGACAGTTTAGGATACTGGCAAGAATAACAGATTAATATTGCATTTATGTACATGCACCCTGCAAAGTTGCTTTTAATCCTCTTAAGCCACCACATTGGGATACTGCAAGGTTTAAATTCTGAACAAATTTCAGCTCCATTTAATGCCATGAAATTAATTTTTCACATTCAAATGTGTCAAATCATCCCCAAATCATTTGGAACTAAATTTTGTAGGATATGCAATAACAGAGTACATATAAACAAAATCAGTGTATGGCGCATGCTTTGACATTGATTGATTAGACATTGCTGGTTCTTTTAACTTTTGCGATGTAAATTCAACTCTTTTTTGGGGGGTAAATGTTTTGGGAATTTGATAGACTTGGCCGATTATTTCTTTGGTGAAAAAATTTGAATCAACTTAAGAGGTTATTTGACAGTGTGCGAGGTTGACTGCCGTGAAATGTGAAATTTGTTTGTTTTTTGCTCTAGAATTCTATATACTACTGGGGATTTGCAGCCTTTGTTGCCTACTTCATGAACCATCCTCTCTACACTCCACCCTGTAAGTAAACGAATGAAGATATGAAAGAGCATGTAAGGTCAGACTTGGAACAAATTACCAATATTTCTTTGTTCAAAATATTTGTTGAGGTAGCTAGTGTACAAGTTCCAACAGGACATCATTACTTCTGAAATTGCTTTTTTAAGGATAGGAGCATCAGCCATAATTTTTTTTTTTGTATAGATAGGGAAGGTTTATATTTGATTTGAAAGATCAAGAATGATGTGTTGGTGAAAAGAATGGGGTCCATTTGAGGGGTTGAAATACTTCAAAATATCTAAATCGTAGAAATTATAAGTTCAAAGTTTGTATCAGTATTAGGAGGCCATCCATTGTATTGCATTATATCTCTGATTTTTTTCAGGAATTTCCAGCTGTTATTGTGCTAAACATTAATTAACACAGCTTAGTTTTACTACTAATTTGAGCATTTAGGAACGTTTGTGCACCAAAATTTAATAAACAGAAAAATTGTTAGTTGTATTGAATATGTGGCATTTTATTTATACGTATATTTTACAATCTAATGCCTATCTTAATTCACTTTTAATATAGCTTTCGGAGATAGTCAAGTCTACTTTGGGCTCTTCATGTTCTTGGTGAGTATGTTTCTTAGTGAAAGATATTAAGATAATGTGATGATGGTGCTCATGCTGATGATGATGCTAATGATGATGATGATGATGATGGTGATGGTGATGATGATGATGATGATGATGATAATGATGATGATGATGATGATGATAATGATGATGATGATGATGGTGATGGCAATGATGATGATGATGATGGCAATGATGATGATGGTGATGATGATGATGATGATGATGATGATGATGGTGATGATGATGATGATGATGATGATGATGATGATGATGGTGATGATGATGGTGATGATGATGATAATGATGATGATGATGATAATCTTGATGGTGATGATGATGATGATGATGATGATGATAATGATGATGATGATGATGATAATCTTGATGGTGATGATGATGATGATGATGATGATGATGATGATGATGGTGGTGATGATGATGATGATGATGATGATGATGATGATAATGATGATAATGATGATGATGGTGTTGGTGATGATGATGATGATGATGATGACAAAGAAGATGATGATGATGACAAAGGGAACAACTTTGATGATTTTGGTAGTTGTAGCAATATCAGGTTGATATATGTAGAGTAATGAGGAGTTATGAATTCCTGTAAATCTTTAAATCCAGTATCAAAATTATTGTACCTTTCACTGTAGATCCATACACATTCATTCAATGGCAGACCATTAACGAGAATACCTAATTCTTCATCTTAGAATGCATACATTTATTGTTTTACAGCTATGTGAATACGGGAACTTCTGTATCCACGTTGTCCTGCGTGACCTTCGACCTCCTGGCACCAAGGAGCGCCGTATCCCTTACCCGACTGGTAACCCCATGACCCAGATGTTCCGTTTTGTCAGCTGTCCTAACTACACCTACGAGACACTGGCATGGGTTAGCTTTGCAATCATGACACAGTGTCTACCAGGTAAGTGTAGTCTTTTGAATGGTGGGTTTTGGGAAGTACAATACTACAGCTCTTTATATGACAAGGATTTGTTTCTAACCTGAGCGATTGGAAGGTTTACTCATATTAGGTACTTTGTAAATACCACTGCACACCATGTTATGCAGCTACGAACACATTCTGGAAGAGTCGACACACCAACAACAAACCAAACAAAAATTACATGTTAGTGTTTTAGAAAGATATTGATAATGAAATAGGGTTTGTAGAGCGTAGTTATCGAGAGCCCATGTTGGCATTTTGTTATGACTGGAAGGCTTAAAAATTACAATTACCTGAAAACTTTGATTTTACCATTGATTTGGCCATTTAAAAACTAGATAAGGAAGATTTCACATTTTAAACAAAATCATTAATGCAATTTTTCCAAAATATGATAGTAAAAAAACCGGTATGAGCAGATGCAGTAGAATTTTAATGTTGCAATTGTTTTGAACGTTACACTCACGCACATGAGCATTTTTTGACTGAATTTATGAGACAATTTGTTTTTAAATACAGTCAAACCTGCTTTCGTGACCACCTGTCTACAAAGGCCATATTTGTTGTCTCCCTTGAAAATGGTTTCTCATTGAATCATGTACTAAAGGAACCTGTGTACAAAGGCCACTTTTTGTGTTTCCCTTGGGTGGTCTCTATAGACAAGTTTGACTATTATCCAATGGAGTCTTTATCCCGTAATGCTAATTGTCTTCTACGATGAGTATGAAAGGCATTACCAATGGTTTTTTTCATGCTTTCCTTCTCTCTCCTGCAGTACTTCTGTTCTGTCTAGCTGGGTTTGGTCAGATGGCCATCTGGGCCGGTGGCAAGCATCGTAACTACAGGAAAGAATTCAAGGAGTATCCAAGGGGCAGGAAAACTATCCTTCCACTCCTCCTCTAAGCGCCCTTTCACCATTTACCCCTCTCCTTTTACACCCTCTTTTGACCCCCTTCCCCCCCCCCCCTTTTCCTCCCTCTCTCTGTCTGTCTCTCTCTCTTTCTTTCTCTCTCTCTCTCTCTCTCTCTCTCTTTCTTTCTCTCTCTCAATCTTTCTCTCTCTTTCTTTCTTTCTCTCTCCCTTTTTTTTTCTCTCTCTCTCTCTCTCTCTCTCTCTTTCTCTTTCTCTTTCTCTTTCTCTCTCTCTCACCCTTTTGAATCATTCAAATTATCAATGAGTGTGTTAATAAATTGAAGTGATCCGTGTACTGGTACATCATTTTAGATATTTGCCCAAATGTTTTGGGTAAGTGAATGACTGTTTTTTTATTAAGTTTTGTTAATTTGATAAGTTTACCAAAACTGGACATCAACATCGGCTCAATGTCAAAAGGCCATTTTCGTTATGTAATCAAATTTAATGACCGTCATAATTTTTTTTGTAGTTATTTAAGTTTTATCGAATCAAACAAACAGCAAGGTATACAATTACATTGTCTGATCACATTCATATAAAAGGAACAGTTACATAGCGAATGTGTAAAAACTAAAATAATGATAACATAACAATAAAAATAAAAAATAAATATTGTGAGACATTCATGATAGGAAGTCTTACATACATATAATAGGCATGATGTGTAATGCACTTTTTTAAACGTTTTAAAATTCTATTCCAATTTTAAGATGAGTATGATCATGTTTTCGTTTTGTTTAGATATATACCCTTTTGCTGTATAATAATATCAGTAAACACAGAAAGAAAAAAATAATATCAGGTTTTACTTCTCTCCAAAATGCAGCAACATAGGGGCATAAAAAATGAATGAATTCATGTTTTGTCCACACTTTTTTATATAAAAATCATTAGTAAGAATTCAACTATCGACAATCTTATCAAGAAGTACTCTCAACCTAGAGCCAATTGTAACATTCCATTGCAACATAAATATTTGAATAACTTCACTATAATTAAGACCATAATCGTTTTCAAACTGAGAAAATATGTTCGATATGTAGGGATTATTTAGGTTTTTTAAACTTTATGTCAACTGACAACTACTTATAACATGAACAGAGTGTTTATTTCTTCAAATCTGCATTCTGAATACCGGTATTGAAGTACAATTATTTGTAACGGATGAATAAAATAGTTTGTAACTAGGTACTTCGCAAAGATGGATGCAATAAATTTGATTGCATTACGAAAATGGCCAATTAAACTTGAGCATCACATCACAATAGTGCTGGACACATTTGAGGTTTTGTTTACATCTCTTCATGCAGGCAAGTGGGTGCCAATGAAGGCTTGGGTATATCAATATCATAATTCATATTATCACCAAGCTAACATTAGTCCAGACCTGCCAACCAGTACGATTTAGTTGTATTTCGTACGATTTTTAGATGCAAATACGAGAGTATGATTTTCCTCAATAAAATACAATTTTCAAAAACAAAAAAAAAGGCAAAATGCCCACTCTGTCCTTTAAAAGTATCCTACAAGCATCTCACATCAGTAATTTGGGGATGTTCATTGGTTCATCGAACACAACAGTCGTGATGATATTCAACCAATGATCCATTAAAAAAATTCTTAGGCGTAACAGTCCGTGTTTATTTTTAAGAACACAACTTTTGTCAGTAAAATACAACTTTTGGGATTTAAGAATACAGTTTTTGAACTCCAGAGGTTGGCAGGTCTGCATTACTGTAATTGTGTTTTGTTATCAAAGGGAGAAAACTACATCATAGTATTATTACCATACAACCAAATCGTTTATCTGTACATGGGGGTAAGTTGAATTGCCAATCTAAGTTTTTGTCTCACAACCAATTAAGCAGACCGAACAAGTGTAATGATGAACAAAAACATTGTAGCACCTTTTGTGAATGATTTGTGTTGCTTGTGAAAATCATATATGGAATTTATGAAATTAATGGTTAGAAATAAAAGTAACAAAACACTAATGTAGATTGTCTTCATGAATACATCGATTTCAAGAAAGTATGGGAGCTATCATGATCAAAATGGGAAGCGGGAAACATTTTATGCATTCCATTCAACATATGAAATTATGAACTTGCATGTCACATATTGTATTCTTCATTAAGAAATGTGTAATATGGAAGCAATTTTGAATCCTCCAATAAAAGTTTTGAATAATTTTTTGTTAAAAGCATCAGGTGGGAAGAGGTGAAGACAGTATTATCTGTATTAAAATTCTGAACATTTTCCTTTTTTTGTATAATTAATTCATCATGTTGGATACGTTGAAATGTGAAAGTGTCTGGGAAATAAGTTATTGATCTTTTGTATTCCTAAATGGTAGATTGCCATGATTTTGATGTTTTGAATTTTATTAATGCAATGATTATTTTGACTGCTCATTACCCCTAAAAATATGCAAATTTAATTGTGCATCATTTGAAAAGTGATAATAATTATCTATGCATGATCAGTAGCATGGTTGAATGTGTGTGTATATATATATGTGATACCTTTTGCTTACTTGATTTTACCACTCAACCACATAGAGAGATAACACATGATATTACCCCAAAGGTTATACCATTACACTAACATTCAATTGTCTGTTGAATATCTTGTTTGTGTTGTGTTTCAGTGTTTAATTTTATTGGCGTCCTCTGTCAATACCTCCTACATGCTACTCGCTTCTACCAAATTGCTCTAGATTACCCAGGAGATGCGCCTTCACCTGCGATGTAAAACGTATTGGCGTCAATGCATGCGTATCGTTCTAATACGATTGCAGTTGTAGTTTGTATCTTATTCTTGTTTTACATCTCTCACTGGTCACCGTTAAACCATGGTGTTGTGAAAAAATTAAAAATCAGCACTTGAATTGTAGTCACCCCAGACAGACCAGATAGACTCAAATAAGAAACAAGTTTCTGGATCTTGCTTCATTGAATTGAAAAGCAATTTTAATTATATCGCTTAATTTGATGTAATGTTAGCATCAGGATTTGACAGATTTGGTGGAGGGCTGTATTCAGAGGGACAGTGTTCAAATTTATCTGCAAGATTGATCAGAAAACTAGTAATGAAAAATCACTTTCATAAAGTTAAAATGCATGAAAAAGAAAGTGTGAATTGTTTCTATGAAATACAAGGATCATTATTTACCTGTTGTTTTTGTTGTTCATACACACAATGCCCTAATCATGGAGCATTTCAGATGTTGGCAACTGCAATCAGTGCATGAACTTGGATACTGTTTTTTAGTATATCACATCTTAACTTCCACAATTTGATTTTCAAATGTGATTAGAAAGTGCCTTGTGTTTCAATTTGAGCATTCATGCTAACACATGTGAAACTGCAGAAGATGAATATGACATTAGTGATAATAAATAACAAGTGGTGATTAAAATGTTTACCGTTAATGTGGCAAAAATGGTAATGTATGGAATTCATTTATTACATCGAATGACATCCAGATTACATGTTATGTCTTTATATGAGTTCTGTAGCCTTTTTGCATTAGGAATACCTGACCTTTCACTAACATTTTTTTCTTTTACAGGGTATGCCCTAACGAAATTTCATGATAGTTTTTTTCTTGCTAATTGTGTACTTTTATATTTTTTTCTTTACTTTCCATGATTGGTGTAATTTTGAAATTTTAATTCACAATGTTGTGATTTGATAAGCGATTGTGTAAAATTGCATTGGTTACAATTCAAATTGAAGTGTAATAAATTATGTAATTTGCAGCCAATTGATATGGATCAAGTCGTCATTTGTTTTAATTGTTGTAAATGAATCGACTAACCACAAGAATGGCATTTGTATACAGCATGCTTAAGAGTGAATTTTATGATAAAATCATCAATTACCATTCATTGTAACCTTCATTTACAGTTGCAATAATTGTTGGTACAAGTTATTCTGTGAAATGTGGAATTAGCCTCCGAAATTGATTCTTAATGGTCAACAATCCTACCAGGTACCCATTTACCTCACCTGGGTGGAGTGTGATTAAAGGTATAAACCAGTTCTGGTCATGCGATTGCATTGTGAAAGAAACGTGGAATCGATCAGAAAAGGTTGATCATCTAGCATATAAGTATTGGTGTGTACTACAAGGTTCTGGAATCATCAAAATGATAAGAAATTTGGCCCAGTCTTGGTGAAGTTACAAGCAATGTACACAGAAAGATGTATATGGGACTATGCAATATCTATCCAAGCCGGATAGATATGATCATTTACCAAATATATCAATTGGTAGGCGGTTTCCGGGCAAAATTTGTATCAACATGTATTAATCAAAAAGTATTCTTTCACATGGTTGGTAGTAAGAGCTTCTATTTCATTTTTTGAGAGGGAACTGGTCTATACCTTCAACGTCTTGACAAAGGACATTAGTGTTGTGGCAGGGATTCAAATTTCAAAAAATTAACACGTCTTTGGCCCGTATTCTACTATTTATGCCTCCGTTCATAATCTGGTTCAACAAAGGAAAGTAGGGTGAGGTCTTCTAAATTGTCCTTCTGTTACAAGTGAATCTAGACACAGGGTCTGCTTTCATTGAGTTAGTACAATATGGACCATGATGTCCAGTCATTATCATGTAAATTATATTGACTAGATATCACATTTGTCTTACATAGTTATAGTATGCTTTAACATAATCGTCACAAAACATAACAAAATGACTCCATGGCTACACTGCATATAAGAGTTTTCCTTTAATTTATTTTTCAAAGAAACATAATTAAAGTCATCTTCAAAAGTATACTACTCGTTGAAAAGGCAAACAAAAGTGGTCAGTCCAAGAAATATTTTTCAAGATTTATGACAGTACTTGGCAAAAAGTTTTTAAACACCTGGATTTCCTTCTTTCTACAATACAATTTCTTTAAATCCATAATGACAAGCACGACCCTGATGTTGTTTGAAGAAGTAATAAATGTTCACAAAGCAATGGTTCAATTTTTTTCTCCAAATATAATACATATCTCAATGACCAGCATATTTCAGTACGGGA